CCAGCAGAGGGTGAATGTCCTCCTGGACAGAAATTGTGCGAACTGAAAATTCTCCATAGTAACAATTCTAATTAATTATTCAAAGGTAGGGGTTGGTTTCTTAAGGTTAAAAGCTGATTATGGTCTCTTGTTTCTATCGTTAAAAACTGAAATCTTTTCTTTGTATCAGCTTATGCGGGGATTAATGAGAAGCTTCTGATGGAATCTTAACAGTAACTTTCAATAAAGACTCTACTTTTAACGTAAGTTTGCCGTTTGCAGACTTTTTGGTTTAAGGGATAACAAAATTTGTCTAAGTTCCATATAACTAAAAAGTTTAAGCCCTCTTATTCTATGACGTAAGTACAGAAACAACAGATATTAACATTGTCATAACATTACATATATTATGTAATTATATACACACATGTAATAAAAGGTATTACAAGATCTTTTCAAATGAAGAGTTAACTATAATTCAGTGATGTTTTAGTAATAAGTGGATTTATACTTTAATAGAAATCAAAACTGAAGTGTTATTCAATACAGTAACTCAGAAAACCAGCCACTTTCCAACTCGGGATTATCATAAATTTGCAGAGTAAAATAGCACATTTTGGGGAAATTAATCCATGCTAACAGATTTTTATTGTATAATAATGGTAAACAATATGTAATTTTTCTAGAAAAATAGGCCACTAAGTGGTCACCAAAATAACTTTAGAAGAGTTTATCACATGGAATGCAATGAAGAGTCACAAGGACCACATAAGCACCAGAAGTCTATAAACAGGAATGAAATCCAAGCCAAATGAAGTAGCTCTCATCATAATGAAAACTAGCAGTCTGGCACTGAGTGAGGCTACACCTGTTAGGCGGAAAATTTGATACTCAAAAGAGGAGGACCAGTCAGCCAGCAGTTGGTCAAACAAAATGCAATCACGTGTGGGAAAAGGGAAAGGGCTTTCTAGAAACCAAATTCCTGGACACACCTGCTATCCCTCCATGTCTATAACTCTGACTACCTCTGGATCTGAATGATGTTAAAATTATGAACCTTACAAGTCTTCTGAGGAAGGATTTGGTTCATAACCCAAACTCAATTTTTAAAGTCACTTCCCATAAGCAAGCTCAGAAATAGGGGCGCCTGGGTGGCTCAGTCAGTTGGGTGTCTGCCTTCGGCTCAGGTCATGATCCCAGAGTCCTGGGATCGAGTCCTACATTGGGCTCCCCGCTCAGCGGGGAGTCTGCTTCTCCCTCTGCCCCTCACCCCACTCATGCTCTATCTCACTCTCACAGTCTCTCTCTAAAATAAGTAAAATCTTAAAAAAAAAAAACAAAAAACTCACAAATACATTTAGTTTCTCATAGCTTCCAGTATTATGTGCGTCCCAACCCAGAACACTCCTCAGACCCATTCCCAACGCAATGGTGCCCACCCAGCCTGGAGTGCACAGGTGTCACGGCCCCCCGGACACCTGCTTGTACATACCTGTTTCTTTCCTGCTTCCCTTTCCTCCCTCACGGCTCTTCTTCAGCACAGCTTTTAACATTTTCCACACGCTTTGCTTCTAAAGAGAAAAGGAGGGGAGGGAAGAGGAATTAGGGGTTGTGAGCTGGAATGGAACTTACATACTGACATAAAAGGTAACTTGGGCTCTAACAGATTGCTTAGGAAAATGTAAAGGTACCCTGAGTCTTACAGTAATTTTCTGTGAAGAAACTAAGATGGGGAACTAAATGTTAAAGACACAAGGAGTGTTTTATAACTTTTAATGAAGTGATCAGAAGTTCACTGTATTGTTGTAAGTTACACACACACACACACCCAGGGCATTCTCAGCATTCCACATCGAATTAAGGTTACAAGGCTAAATCTGGGCACATTACTGTAAGATGTCTGGCACAGGAATTCAGATCTAACCCCAGCTCATCAAAAGAAAACATGAGAACGGAGAATCAACAAGATAATGGTTAAGAAGAAAGCTACACAGTTAAAGGAACATTTTGCAGATGCTAATGATGATATAACCGCAAGGAAAACATTTTGGAAGTTTATCAGATTAAAACATACCTTATAAGCATTTGCAAAATAAATACAACAGAAACACATTTTAAAGCTGATGTCAGGAGCCCCAATCAAACAGCATACACGACAGTGCGTTTTTACTACATACGGTTAGGACTTTTTGGGGGGGGGGGATGGGGAGGAAAGTAGAACAGTCTGTGGCACTACAGCTGAATCCTTAAAATGATAAGCTGCATTTTTAAACAGGGTTGTACTGAGCATGGAAAAACAACACAATGGCCCAGGCCTAAGAGGAAACCTAAAACCATCCCTATAGCAAGAGACAGACAAAGGACCATTATTTCATCATGGAGTCTCCTGCAGCTCTCTTTTTCCTCCAGTAACTCAGATGAGATGGCTGGACAACTCCCAGCAGTAACAAATCCGAGTGGGTTGTGTTACCCATCACAACCTTGTTAATGCACTAAGGGCAGGAAGGTGGAAGGCAGGCAGGTTGCTCCTGGAAGAAAGAAGAGGGGGAGAGGGGCTAAGAGGGAGGAACTCGTGTGTAGAAGAGGGTCCCACCTGCCTATTGAGCCTGAATGCTTGAAATGGCCTTGGTGTAGCACCCCACACAACTGCTCAACCCCAGAGTGAAGCAGAGCCTCTGTGGGGGCAGAGAGAGAGCAGTCCCCAAGCACTGCCATTCAGAGTCACACAACATTAGCACACACAGTGACCTTATCATTTGGTCCAGGCCTGTATTTATTTTTCCAAGTCCTTTGTTTCCCTGATGAAGAAATAGAGACCCTGGAAGGCTGACTGCCCAGGGGTCACACAGCTAATTAATAGCAGGGCCCAAATCCAAATCTGCAAACTCCCAGCAAGAGTCCTCCTCCTCCCACTGCTCTGCCTCTCCTCTCAGAAAATGAAAGCTTTGGGCAACAGCAATCAAACAAATGAACAAACAAAAATCAACAAACCAACCCACCCTAGAGATACCAGGAGGATAGTATCTTTAAGCAGAATTTGGAGAAAGCTATAGTGAAGTTTGATAGGGTTAAATCACCTTATAAACAAGTCTCTACACACAAAAGGGGCATAGCTTACAGCCTAATTCTTCTTTAAAATGCTACTTCGGTGAACCCTGGTGTAAAGATTTGTGTTTCACCTAAAGGGCAAGCACGGAATCTGGGAAGAGGACCACAGTGTGCTTCTACAGGGTAACTACGGAAACACAAATTTCTCTTGACGGTCATGCTTAAAACACTGCAAAATGCTGTGTAAAAAATGGTGGACAAAATTTAATAATAGATGCCTGCTAAGCACAGATATTTGCTTTGCCAAAAATCAACCAACCTTCAGGATTGAACAAAGACTACACACTTTATAAAACATGCCAACAGAGCTTGGCCCCGGTCCCTTGGGGAGTTGTCCAGGAGCCCCACGCTTCTCTGGATCACGGACTAGCTCAGGCCCCACCATGGCGGTGAGGCTGCCCGTGATCCATCACCCTGGTCATCTCCAACCCACAGCAGATCTGCTGTGCCACTGGGAAGACACATCCCACAGGACAAGGACTAAAACACACTGACTCAGGCATCTCATGCCAGACATCTTGGATGCCTACTTTGGGGAGCTCAGCTGTTTTCAGGATTGTCATTATCTTCCACATCAGTGATCTTGAGTCAAGTGAAAGAGGCTATCAGATAGCCACTATAATTTTTCTTTCCAGTTCCTGCTTTCCTCCATAAATAGCAAGTCAAGGGGAAAAGCTTAAATTTATATTCTAAGACCTATTCAAACTGTGACCTGGAGAAACTTCAAATGAGTCTACCCGAGTGCAAAAGTCACTTCAGCTGCCATTTCTTTAAATTATATACTTTTGAGGAAGAGCGAAAAGACCAGCCTCCAGACCAGCGTCTGAAATTCTCTAAAGGGAGAAAACTTCCTATCATTTTCACTTAAAATAAGAGTATAGGACATTAACCTTAGAAGACCAATGACCTGAAGGCACCTAGATTTCCTTATTTTTCTACTGCCATTGAACATCTAAGTTTCCCAGATACCATAAGTTCTTCCTTTTAAAATGCCCAGAAGTTACATAAAGTACCAAACTTACTTTCACTTTTTGGATTTCTCATTTACCACATAGAGTCTTTGAGGATAGGCACAACTTCTCCATGTTATGTGTTAGAATTCTGCAGTGACTACAGTGATAGATAAAATTTAACAAAGATCACCCTAGGTAAAACAGGGAGGATTTCAAAGCAAGACGAAATCTGTTTTGGCTTGCAATCACAATAGCAGCATCATAACCATGACCACCTTGTCTGAAATCACAGAATAACACTAGTATGAAAATTTTCCTCTTCTGGAGTGCCATACTGCCTATTTACACAATTCCAAGTTGAATCTGTGAGCTGAGGGCAGGGACTATGTTTATTCTTTAATACAAACAGAAGCCAGAACACAGGCTTCGCACCCACTCTGTTCTCAGTATTTGTTGACAGATTTAACTAGGCTGCAATGAACACAGATGAGCAATTTCCTCCAAATCAAGCAATTAGCCAACATTTATAGCAGTTTATAAGTTATAAGGAACATTCCTACATATTTTCATTCACAAGGAATGCCAGAAAACGCAGTTAAATCCATGTGACATCAAGCCATGAGATACTAGTGAGGAAAATGCTGCATTTCATAATACTCTTTCATATCCACACCTGAATTAACCTTAAAAACTCTCACAATCACAAAATCTTATTACCCAGTTATCCTGAATCTGTGCGCACTCCATTGGAAGGAGCCTCTCCCATCAAACAGTTTATCTGACCTCAGAGCAAAGCTTCTTCTGAAGGTGCCTCCCTTCTTTTGTCAACATCAAGCAAACCAGAACAGCAATATTTACAAGTGAAACACTGAAAAATAAGTTATACTTAATTAAGGATTCCCCCCCTTCCCCCAGAAAAGGGAGACATCAAAAACATACTCAACTTTAAGGGTTTGAAAAATTTTTTCCAACCAAGATTTGACTCATCTGAATAATAGCCATGTCCTCTGTATGGCTACTTTTAGAATTTACTTTCCATTAGCATCCTTTAATGTTTGCTAAAAGAAAGGAAATGTGTGGCGGCAGTGGGGGGTCTGAAGCACCTTTCAAGATAAGTAATATATAGAATAGAGCAAGTCAAGAAAACAAAGCAGAATAGAGACCACAAAAGGAAACAAAGAGGCCTGCTAGATGGGGCACTGGCTGTTGGCTGGAAATCCACGGAAAACTGTGTTATAGAAGCTTCCTGAAAGCAAGAGCCGTATCTCAACATTCTTTTAGAGCTCCCATGAGGCTGGGGAAAAACAACCCTTGATGA